GCGCACAAATTTTCACACAGAAGTTTTTGTTGCCTGCGCACTTATTTTTCTTCACACAGAAGTTGTTACGGTGGTGCGCTCTGCTGCCGCACACAGAGGCTGCTTGGCTTTACTGTTCACCAATTCTGTACGCAAATACTTCACACAGAAGTTTTGTTGCCTGCGCACTTATTTTGCCTCACACAGAAGCTGTTGCGTTGATTCGATCTGCTGCCGCACACTAAGGCTGCGCAGAACTGCTCTATTTCGCCGTTTCGTTGACTGCGCAATGCCGCTTCACACAGAAGCTCCGATGCCTGCGCACTGCTACTTCACCCAGAAGTTATGCTGTTGGTTTAGTTCGCTGCCCCACACAGAGGCTGCATTCTTTTACTGTATGTACTTTGATTATGTGTGCTAATGCTTCACCCAGAAGTTTAGATATATGCTGACTGAATACATACACAGAATATGCATGAGCACATGTAGCGGTGATGTATTCTGCTGCTTCACCCAGAGCGTCGGCTATATCTGATTGGACCGTAGGATTTCAATTGACGTGCCAGTGTGCACGATTGCGGCTTCGACGTCTCTGCTGCTTAACTAACGCCGCACGCGTTTTGTAGCTGAAGATTTGACGCCCTCGTATACTGCTGCTTCACTTGTGCGCCGCACTTAGCTGGCGCTTTGTCCGGCGTTTAACGGAATTCGAATTTTTTCGATGATAACGGACCTAGCGGCGTCCTAGAATTCGTGGTACAGTTTGGCGACTGTTATATATTAACGCACTGGACAAAATTTCAACCGAACCGAAGAATGGACTGTGGTAATACTCTTACGTACATATGTTGCGCAAATAAAAGTGGCTGAACTGTCTTTGTTAAAAATGTCACACAATTAGCAAGAAAATTTTCCCGCACAGCACTTGTCACAAGACGTAGGAATTTTTAACGAATCCTACTCTGACACCAATTGTAGGGTTCACCGAGTGTAGGGCACTTAAAACACGTATTGATTTTGGTTAATAAAGTTGATTTATTTAACGATTACTTTTGATTAATAGTAAGCGTGAGTATTACCACGTCCGTTAGC